CCCGGGGGGCAGTGCCGGCCGGCCAGGGGCTTGTGCCTGCCCTGGCGGGCTTGGGCTGAGCGGGATGGGGGCGAGGGCTGGCCTGTGCTCGGGGCATCAGGCCCTCGGGCTGGCAGCCGCACCCTGCCCCGGCCACGCTCGGCCACACCGTGTGCCAGGGCCGCAGCAGCAGAGCCAGGTGCGGGTTGCGAGGGGAGCCCAGGGCCATGGCCGGGACCCGTGGCACCCGCACCCTGCGGCTCGGCAGAGCAGGTCAACCCTCAGCACCCTCCTTGACAGCATCCGCCTCGGCACCAGCCCCCCCGGCCTCCCGTGGATGCCGAGCCGAGGACACAGCTGCTGCCTTTGAAAAGCCCCAAACCCTCTGCAAAGGGATCCAGCGCGGCCCGAGCGTGGCGCAGCCTTCAGATCTATTTCAATACTGGCTCTTTGTTCACTTATCGGTTTCTTATATCTCCTCTAGGTTTTTTTTTTTTTTTTTTTTTTTTTTTTTTTTTTCCCTTTCCCCTCTTCCCCCCCTTTTTATCTTCTTTTTCCTTCAATCTTTTTTATTTTTTTAAACCTTATTTCCCTTCACCATGCCTCTGCCCTCCCAGATCTTGGGCCAGTGGGCTGTTAATTGTGTGGGAAGGGTCTTCCCAGAGCCCCTTGGACCTCTTGCAGACCTTGGTGTCCCTTTGCTCCCTGGTGAGACTGTCAGGGACACCGGGACCCCCCCTGGGAGTTTGTGCTGGTGATGTGGGGCGAGGCCCCATCTGCGTAAGGGTGGCAGGTCTGGAGGGCCTGCGGGCCATGCCGGCAAGGTTGGACCCGCAGAGCCCCTGCCCAGGGTTCAACTGCCCCATCCCTTCTGCAGCCCTGGGGCAAATGGGGTAAATGCAGCATCGGGGCAGGGGTGCCAGCGCTTGGGTCCCTGGGGGGATTGTTGAGGGATCCTGGCTGGGCAGGGAGAGGGGCATGGAGGCTCCTGCCTGCATGGGAAGCAGGGAGTAGAGGAGAAGTGGGGAGCACAGGCCATGGGGCTGGCAGTGGCTCTCACACCAGCCAGTGGCACTGGCACTGCAGCAGCAGCAAGAGATGGGCTGAAAGGACCTTCCCTGGGGGGGAGGGCTCCTCTGCGCCCCAGCTGCGGACCCTGAGCATGAGGTGCCCCCTGCCCCTGCCAGGGTGGTGCTGCGGCTGGGTGCCAGCACAGGTGGGCACCGTGCTGCCCGGGGCTGGTGTGGGGATTGTATGGGGCTGCCATGGGGCCGGCTGGGGTCCCGCAGTCCTGCGGTGCCAGGACTCCTCAATGCCCCCCGCTCCGCATCGGCACTGCCCTCTCCTTTCCCTTTCCTTTCTCTTCTGTTCCCCTTCATTTCTCTCCCTTTCCGTGGCTTATTTCTCCTTTACCTTTTATTTATTCTGTGTCCACACGTACGCGCGGTTCTGCAATGCTCCCCCCATCCCGTGCTTTGCCCCCAGCCCTGCTGACACCAAAGCCCCTGCCGGCAGCTTCCCAGAGAAGGTGAGCAGATATTAATAATAACAACAGTAACAATAATAGTAATAACAATAAAGTGATAGTGTTGGGGAGGGATCCCTGTTGAGCTGGGGTAGGGTATGAGAACACTTGGCAGACCCCTCTGAGAGGGACCCGGCACTGGGCTGGAGGGATGAGCACACGTGTGTGCATGTGCGTGCACACATGTATACATGCAGGCGACGCAGATTGCATGTCCAACCTGAGACGTGGGGTGCGCGCTGCAGGTGGGGGTGTTTGTACGCTCCAGGGTGTGCAAGGCAGGGGTGCCTGTGTGCGGGCACCCTTGGTGTGTGCGCAGGGCCTGCAGGCTGCCCCCCAAAGACCCTCCTGTAGGGTGGTCCCCTTTCTCTGCTGGAGTCTTTCGGGGGCAACAGCAGCGGACCCTCTCCCCTCCCCAGGCTCATGTGGGCAGGATGGAGATGGGCAGGACTGTCCCCCCCAGGTGCTAGTACATCCCCCCAGACAGGAGCAGAACTGGGGGCATCCTGGGATGCTGGGGTCTCCCGGGGGGG